CCCTGCCCGCCCGCCCAGGCTCCAGCGCCCCCTCGCCCCGGCCAACCCCGCCGCCGCCGCTCCGCCGGCCCGGACGCAGCTTCGATGCGGCTCCAGCTCGGGCTCGCTCGCCGCTTCCGCCTCCTCCTCCGGCCCCGCCCCGGCCCCGCCCCCGCAGCCGCTCCCCTCCGAGGCCCGCCCCGCGCGGCCCGGCGCCTCGCGGCGGCACAAGCGCCTGGGCCGAGCGGCGCTGCCCGGCCCCCGCGGCGTCGCGGTCTGGCGGCGGAAGGGGCGTGACCAGAGCGGGGCGGCTCGGGTGACTGGCAGGTCTCCGCGGCAGTCACGGCGAAGCGGCCGGAAGGCGTTCCCGTGAGCCTCTGCGCCGTCGGCCGAGCCACCAATCAAACCCCGGGACTAAATTGGCAGCCATAGCAGAGAGCTCATTGGCCCGCTCTGGAAGAAGTGGTTCCGGGTCCCACTTCCGTCGGGGCTGGGAAATACCCCGGCGTCGGCTTTTGGCCCCGCCGCGGAGAAAAGCGGCTGAGTCTCGTTTGAGGAATTAAGTTAGGCCTGTTGTACAGAAAATCTTGATTGACAGGGGAATGAGCCAGTCAGCCCTCCCTAAAGGTCTTCTCTCCCCCGCCCCGGCAGCTCAAGAACGGTGGAAAGTCAAACTTTAATCCCCGCGTTGGCGAGGAAGAAGCGGACTGATCCCAAGCTCCAGGTCAGCTTGGTCTACTTAGCGAGCTCCGGCCGAGCCAAGGTTGCATACGAGGATTTGTCTCAAACAAAACAAAAGAGTGACATTTACAGACTCCAGAACTTCTGGTGACTTTGAGATAGCCCCAGAATGTGTGACACCCTCGTGATTGCTTAGTCTTGTACACTAAAAGAAAGCATATAAATTGCTGTGAGGGTTAACTTGAAGAAAACTAATGTTTTTCTAAAGAAAACGAGAGGTTATGGTTCAGGTAACGTGAAGACGAAGAAACGGAGATAGCCCCACGAAAGACCAAAGCCACACTAAGCATGGAGGCTTCCTGCCCTTGTCCAGGTGCCTACTTTTATTGCCTACTGAAGGTCTTCTGTGTCTCCTCATCCCTAAACATGGGGTTCCGAGGAGAACTGCCCCCTCCATTTTTTATCAGGGCTGTCCACAAAATAGTTTCCAAAGTGTTGGATTTGAGTCGTGAATCGAGATGGATGTGGGTCCAGCGACATGGATTAGCCAGGTCTATTATTAACTGTTGGAAAATAAAGGGATGGGGTAAATTCTCTGATTCTTGGGGTGAGTGTAATTGTACAAAACTGTCATCTGTCTCTTCAACCAATCTGTGCACTAAAGAAGCACGCAAACATACACAGAAGCAGAGCCTCTGAAAGCTAAGATCACTTGCCAACCTCAAAGGTTAGGGCCAAGGGTCGTGGGGCACGCTGGAGGCTGAAGCAGGTGGGATCTCTCAGTTTGTGGCCAGCCCGATCTATACAGTTCTCCAGGCCAACCAAGGCCCCGTCTCAAAACAGCAACAACTCTCAGGTTAGTTCAGCTCTACTAAAAAAAAAACAAAAACAAAAAACAGAAAGCAGAAATCAGTGGAACTAGATTCAAGGCCACACCCAAAGAAAATAGGAGACTTTTCTCTGTCAAACAACTATCTTTGGAAACAGGGCGTGATGGTTCGTGAATGTTGTCTTAGGGTTCTATTGCTGTGGAGAGACACCATCACCATGCAACTCTTACAAAGGAGGCATTTAATTGGGGCTGGCTTACAGTTTCAGAGACTTAGTCCACTATCACCCCGGCAAGAAGCATGGCAGCGTGCAGACAGACATGGTGCTGGAGCCCAGAGTTCTACATCTTGACTCGAAGCAGGAGACTATGTGCCACACTGGTTGTAGCTTGAGCATAGGAGACCTCAAAGCCCTCCTTCCAAAAAGGCCACACCTCCTAGTTCTACTCCCTGTGGGCCAAGCACTCACACACACACACACACACAGGAACCTGCGGGAGCCATCTCTATTCAAACCACCAGGTATTTAATCCCAGCACTAGGGAGATGACAAAGGAGAATCACAGTTAATTTAAGGCCAACCTGGGCTACAGAGGGAGTTATACATTCACAATATCCTGGCTCAAAAAAAAAAAAAAAAGTGTGTGTACAGGGTTGGGCTGTAGAGATGGCTTAGTGGTTTAGAGCAGTTGCTGTTCTTCCATAGAAACTGAGTTTGGTTCACAGTACCCACACCAGGTAGGTAGCTTTAACTCAGCTCCAGGGATACAGTGCCTTGTCTGACCTCTTTAGGCACATGCACTGCAGAGGAGAGGAGGCTGCTTGTAGAGGCCTCACTGCAGAATTTAGACTGCCCTGGGAGAAGGATAGGTCATTAGAGATTAGGGAAAGTGTTGCATGGATTTTTTTTTCTATTTGGTTTATTTATGCTTCTACCTCCTTTCTCCAGTCCAGTCCCTTCCAACACTCCAACATCAGGCAGGAGAGAAGGAAGGTTAGTGGGGAGAGGGTTCATAGTTCTCATTTGACTATTTCCTGTTGGTTAGGGTTATGGAGTTTTTTGAGGCAAGTCCAATCTTCATTTCAGGATGTCTCCAACTTCTCTTTCTCGTCAAACTGCAGCAGCTGCAACCAGAGCAGCAGGGGGAGAGCAGCTGCCGCCTCCTTCTTCCTCAGAGCCCATCCCCTACCCCAGGGTCTGACAGTTATTCCCTCTCAGAGTCCTCATAATGAAGCTGTTCTCAGCTGGCAAAGATCACACCCCTCTCAGAGTGCCCACGAGGCAAATAGTTTGCTGCTGTGGACGACCTAAAGCAGCCCCATATCCCACACCTGAGATACAAACAAAAACATAATTATGTAACATAACTGAGTTTTTAAAAGACACCAAAACTCCCACTAAAGGAAGGGCTTAGGGAAGGAGGCAGTTGCATGACCAAGTAATCTCTATCCCAAAAGTTAGGAAAATGATGTAGGCTGTGTTGCCTTGATTCCAACTTTAGAGATAGCACCTGGGGGTACTAAAGATATGTAGAAAATGTTTTTGATGAAGGGCACTGATGAGAGAGGGAGAGATGGTATTTTGTACCCTTCTTTGTCTTCCCGAACGACTTTTACTCTATTCTTGCAGGAGAGATTGGAGTTGAGACAGTGACAGGTCAAGATAGCTAGGATAGCACCTTGACTGAGAGTGATTACTTACACATACCTCTGTCCTCTATCAGACCTAAGCCTCTGTCATTGCCCCTGAAGATGGAGAGGTTTGGGTTCACTCCCTAGTGTGGTAATATTGAATATATCTCTGCTTCTAATACTTGTCTATTTAAAAAAAATTTTTTAATGTGGGGTTTCTCTGTGTAGCCTTGGCTGTCCGGGACTCGATTTGTAGACCAGGCTGGTCTTGAACTCACAGAGATGCCCCTGCTTCTGTCTCTCAGAGTCTGGGATTACAGGCATGTGCCACTAGGGTTTCTCTGTGTAGCCTTTTCTGTCCTGGGCTCACTTTGTAGACCTGGCTAGCCTTGAACACACAGAGATCTGCCTGCCTCTACCTGTATTTTTTATTTTTTGAGATTATAATTGCATCATTTCCTCCTTTTCTCCCCATACCCATTCTTGCACTCTTTCAAATTTATGACCTTTTTTCATTGTTGTTATATGCATGTGTATATATATATGTACATATGTTATTATATGTAATATAATAAATATATTTTAAAGAATCTGCTCAGTCTGTATAATGTTGTTTGTATGTGTGTTTTGAGGTCTGACCATTTGGTATTAGATAACCAATTGGAATTCTCTTTCCTGGAGAAAACTGCTTCTCCTCCTCTCAATAGTCTTTATTTGCCTGTAGTTCTTTGTGTGTAATTGATGTCTTCTGGTCTTCCCCCATCTGTGTTAGCATGTATCTTGTTGTTGTCCTTGCTCAGCTCATGTTTAGGCAGTCATGTTGGTGAGACTTTATGGGTGTAGCTTCTGACCTTACTAGAAAACACAACCTCACAGTAAATGCCCTCATCCTTTGGCTCTTACAATCTTAGTCCCCTCTCCTAAAATGCTCCCTGAGTCTTAGGTGCAGGAGTTATAGTGCAAATGTAGATGCAGGAGTCATATTGAAAATGTATCCATTGGGACTGCAAAATCGACAATTCTGCAGATTTTGATGTTTGTGGTTTTCTGTTACAGGCTCTGTCTGCAAAGAGTAGTTTCCTTAATGAGGGATGAGAACTACATTTATCCATGATTATAAGGACAATTATTTGGAATGTAATTAGGGACTATGCCGGTTTAGTAAATTGGTGGTTATGGGTTCTCCTCAAGAGCCATGACTTCAGCTGGGTGTGGTGGTGCATGCCTCTAATCCTAGCACTTTAGGAAGCAGAGGCAGACAGATCTCTGTGATTTCAAAACCATCCAAGTCTACAGAGCGAGTCCAGGACACCCAAGGCTTTACAGAGAAACCCTGCCTTGAAAAATAGATAGATAGATAGATAGATAGATAGATAGATAGATAGATAGATAGAT